CATTGTCATAATGGTGACACTTTTGTTTATCTCAACTAGTGAAAATTGATTTTCACTTGCAAATAAACTAAATATTACCGCTAACGGGTCTAACTCAGTTAAAAGTACTTTGATCTCATATTCAAAAATATTTTGATCGTAATTTAGTTCTGAAATCCCACTCAAAATTTAGTTATTTTTCTTCTAATATCTTATCTATCATTTAGTTATTTTTCTTCTAATATCTTATCTAACATTTGAAGTAATTTCATGTTCCAATCGAAAAATAAATAAAAAGCAAACGCTGAGCTATGATCAAATTAAAAGATGGGATTTTGAAACAAAAAGAAAGGTAGGATTTTGATAAAATAAAATAAAGGCTTTTTATCACAAATGGTCCCTGAGGTTGGTGAAATTATCGCCTTTCGTCCTTAATGTTTTTTTGTGACACTAATGGTCCTTAAGGTTACCCTTCACACATCAAAATGGTCCCTGACGTTAGGCTGCCTATTACCCGCCACCGCCTCCACCACCAGGCTCCGTCCACTACCCATACTACCAACAACCGCCACCACCTCAACCGCCTCCGTCGGTGGCGCCACCGCTACAGCACCACCTGGTTCAGCCCTACTTCCCTCAACACCCACCGCCTTTCTCTTCCTACGCTCCCGCTCTCGTCCCCCAACCCTCACACGACGAGGTCAGGACCCTATTTGTCGCGGGTCTTCCCGAAGATGTCAAGCCCCGAGAAATCTACAACCTCTTTCGCGAGTTTCCGGGTTACGAGTCCTCCCACCTCCGGACCCCAACCGAGAAGTCTCAGGTATTGCTGACAATTGAAATTAAATTATATTAATGCGTGATTTTGAGTGATTTTGGTTATCAGCGTACTGTAGCGGTCAAAAAGTTTGGAGCTTTGCAATTGGGTTGGAATATATATTTGTTTTTTGTCACTGAAGTTGTTGTGGGCTGACATGGTCTTTTGGTGATGTAGCCTTTTGCTTTTGCGGTGTTCTTGGATCAGCAGTCTGCGATCGGGGCAATGCATGCTCTGAATGTGAGTAGACCTTGCTTTTGTTTGTGACATTAATAGTTGGGTATCTGTATATAAACGCTGTAATATACAATGCTGTCTCAACTATACAGTAGAGGAAATTAGGATAGTATTGGTTGGTATTTCACAGTTTATAGTTATCTTCGGGACTAACACCCAACTTATAAGTCTGTTGCAAATTGTTTGAATTGAAGAGCCTCGCTTGGGGTAAAATAGCTTATGCCTATTCATGTGTGGAGAATGGCAGATCTTTAGTACTAGCAGTTGGCTTTTGTGTTGTTTGTTTGTATGGGTTTTATTATTATTCACTGTGTTGGTGAGTTTTACATTATATGTAAAATTTAGGTGAAAATTTTAACTAAGAGCTCTTGATTCCGAACTGTGTTTGCAGGGAATGGTGTTTGATCTTGAGAAGGGGTCAACATTATATATTGATCTAGCAAAATCTAATTCTAGGTCAAAACGCTCAAGAACAGGTCTATTTCTATTCACTTTCTTTGTCCTTTGTTTGTTCTCTTCCACATCTTAACTGACTTGAACTGCAATCTGTGCTATTGTTGATCATTGTATGTAGATGATGAAAGATCTGGCTCAGATAAGAAAGCTAGAGGTTCATCGTATTCAAGGGGCGCTCCTGATTCTGGTAAGAGGATTGCCTCTAACTGCTTGTGTAAGGGAGTTAGCTT